CAGAGAATTTTATCAGGTAGAGTAGAAGAATTATAGAATTTTCATGAAATTACGGTATTGTGAATATGGTAAAAAAAAAATTAGATGTCAGCAATGTTTTACCTTCAAATTGATTATGTACTTCATATGAAAAGCTGATTTATATATTTATATATTTTCTTTAAATTAAATATAGTGTCTCACAAAAGATGGTGGAAATGTGAAGGGGAGAATACAGGTATGTGTACTATGTACAGTGGAACCTTGGTTTTTGTTTGCCCTAGTTTGTACATAAAACTACAGTTTTTTTTTTTTTTTTTCAACAAGTCGGCTGTCTCCCACTGAGGCAGGGTGACCCAAAGAGAAAGAAAATCCCCAAAAAAGAAAATACGTACTTTCATCATCATTCAAAACTTTCACCTCACTCACACATAATCACTGTTTTTGCAGAGGTGCCCAGAATACAACAGTACATATATACGTATAAAAATACACAATATATCTCTCCAAACTGCCAGTTATTGTCTATAAAATGTATTTTTTGTTAATATTTTTGGGTGTCTAGAATGGATTAATTGGATTTACATTATTTCTTTTGGGAAATATTAACAAAAAATACATTTTATAGAGAATAACTATAGCTTTACATTCAAACTAGGTCATGCAAAAACCGAGGTTCTGCTGTACTATTATAAGAAGTTCTGAGAAAAACTTTTTTCATTGAAGACAGTCTTCAAATCAGAGTTTGAATATGCATCAGCAGTTATTAAATGCCTAAGTTAGGAGGGAGGTGGATAGGAGGATTGAAAGGCAAGGGATTTAGTAAATAATGGAGAGAGAAGTAGACTGTAGACTGTAGAAAAATTAAAAGAATTTGTGAAATGTATCTTCTGGATTTGTGAATAAGAGTCTGTATATAACAATAACACCTTGCTAAGAAAATGAGTCAAGTATTTGGAATTTTTAAGTGGAGGTATGTCTGGTGCAGCCAAGATACAAAGTTAATCTTGAGAGGCATTAGTAGATGGAAAAATATCAGATGAATTGTCTTGTTCATTATAGGAATGGAAGTCACCAAATTATCAGTCCATCAGTAAAGGATGGGAAGTATTTTTTTTTTTTTTATAGATAAGCCCTTGTCAAGAACTGAAGATGGCACTAAAAGAATGGTAAAATAGATTCATCAGGTATGCCTGAAAAATGAACTTGTTTAAGATGTAATTAATGTGGTTAGAAGTTAATACTAAATACTTGCAGATAGTATGGAATGAGAAAATCTTTAAGCCTGATAGATAAAACAGTAAACATGAAGTTGACATCAGGGATGAGCAAAACACAATTAAACTTAAAGTACATAATATAGGGACAAATAAGAAGATTCATGTTGCATAAAATACAGTACCATTAAAGAGAAATTTTGAGACATGTTATAACAGTTTGTGTATAGAATGTAAACAGTGGTAGTGGCAGGAAGACTAGGGAATGACAGGAAGACCAGGGAAAACATTATAAGTCCAGTGGAAGAAATTGCAATAGACATGTATAAGTGACAGCAGGTCTCAGTGGATAGGAGAGAATGTGGAAGGTATTGGAATATTAAAGTATCCATTGAAAAAACAAATTGGAAGAAAGGAGATGAATGTACTGTCCTGTTAACCCTTTGACTGTTTCAGGCCCCTTTCTGAAACTGTCATTCTGTCGCTAAATTTTTGAAAAAAAAAAAAAATTCTTATGAAATGATAGAGAATCTTTTCCCGATGGTAATGACACCAAAAGTTCAAAATTTGGTCAAAAACTCATGGAATTACGCTCCCGTGAAGTTAGCGGTCTTGGCGACATATGCGTATCGGCGATTTCGCCGACTTTGAGCCCTATTTTTAGCCAATTCTGTTGTTCCAGTTGACCAAACTCATAGCTATTTCTTTAGAACTCCATTTTATCTATCAGCTGAGTACAAGAAACCTCCCATTTACCAATTTGGACTACCCAATATTGTGGTCAGAAATTGGCAATTTGGCCAATTTCACGCAAACTAAAAAAGATGCCAATTTCAAAATAGGGTCCAGAATAAACAAGGTAGACATTCTTGGCACTGAAATAACATATCCTCTGTTCATTAGTCACATCTCTAGGCCTCTCTTATATTATTATTGCTTTCTATTTTGATTTTTTATTCATACAAACCCCTCAAGGATGGTTCCTTGATGTTGGTGAGGGGCTCTTGATTTAGGGAATTGGATCTGTGCTCCAGTTCCCTGAATTAAGCCTGAATGCCTTCTACATCCCCCCCCCCAGGCGCTATATAATCCTCCGGGTTTAGCACTTCCCCCTTGATTATAATAATAATAATATTCATACAAAAAAATACAAAATTTACTGTTATGCAGACTACTGCATTATTGTAAAAATGGTATAAATAATATCAGTGTACTAGTGAAAGAATATTAGACTCCCCAGTTGATGTGTATTGGATGTGTGGTGTGATTTGTTTACTCCTGAACATTTTTAAAAATCGAACATTTCCACTACTTTGAGCTCAGTTTCAAGGTCGTTTTCATCATCAAAGTAATAAAAATCAGCTCTATTTCTGTAATATGTTTTCCGTTTTATCACCTAAGACCATGAAAACGCAAATACATCGATAAATACTAGACGAAAATACACCTCAAAGTCGGCGTTTTAATCCAAAAAAACGATCAGATTTTTTTTTTTCTCATTACGCACTGTGCGCTGCAGGATTTTTTTTATGTGGTGCACACTGACCACACAGACCCATTCTCTCACATGTGGGCCTACCAGCTTTCTTCCGCTTGATTTGAAGCCGCTAGAATTATTGAGTATATATACGTCTGAAACACTGGCTCGTAAGATGTATATATACGACCAAAACAGTCAAAGGGTTAAAAGGTATGTAAAATGAGAGGGTGATAAAGGTAGAATGATAGTGGCAATGAAGTAAAGTAGGGATAACATGTGATAAAAAATGTGCTGGAAAGACCAAGGCAAATACGTAGTCTGTGATATTTCCCCACAACACACAATTGAAACTACAAGGAAAATTGGGTATTATTAATTTCATGACCAAAATACTTCACGTGCTTGCTATCAGTTGTTGCATTTATATACGTATTTTCTTGTCTAGTTAAAGTTGCTCATTTTATGAATTAATGTATACAGTATTACCTAAAGTGTTTAAAGTTATTCGTATGATGAAGAAGACTGTTACCTAAATAAATGTTTGGTTAAATTTATTGTTTATTATGAAGGCTAAACTGGCCACATAAATATTGGTTATTAATGTTACGAGGACTGTATTATCCATATAATTGTATTCCAGGAATAAGGAGACTTTCTGGCAAAATCACATCTAACGTATTCTTACTGGTGATTTTATGAATGTAAACTATATTTATAATTGTCTTCAGAAAATAATATTTTATGCATGAAATTATTGGAATAGAAGAAATGTTTTAAGGATGAGGCAGTTTACAAATGTAAAATATTTGTTAGGTTTTTAAATGGACACAGATGCAGCTAATTTTTTTATTTTTTTATTATTAACACATCGGCCGTTTCCCATCAAGGCAGGCTGGCCTGAAAAAGAAAAAACTCGCATCATCATTCACTCCATCACTGTCTTGCCAGAGGCATGCTGACACTACAGTTATAAAACTGCAACATCAACACCCCTCCTTCAGAGTGCCGGCACTGTACTTCCCATCTCCAGGAATCAAGTCCGGCCTGCCGGTTTCCCTGAATCCCTTCATAAATGTTACTTTGCTCACACTCCAACAGCACGTCAAGTCCTAAAAACCATTTGCCTTCATTTGCTCCTAACACGCTTACGCATGCTTGCTGGAAGTTCAAGCCCCTCCCACAGTAAACCTTCACCCCCTCCCTCCAACCTTTTCTAGGCTGACCCCTACTATGCCTTCCCTCCACTACAGATTTATACACTCTTGAAGTCATTGTATTTTGTTCCAGCCTCTCTACATGTCCAAACCATCTCAACCCCTCCTCAGCCCTCTGGATAATAGTTTTGGTAATCCCACACCTCCTCCCAATCTCCAGACTACGGATTCTCTGCATTATATTCACACCACACATTGCCCTCAGACATGACATCTCCACTGCCTTCAGCCTTCTCCTTGTTGCAACATTCACCACCCATTCCTCACATCCATACAAGAGTGTTGGTATAACTATACTGTCAGCTAATGTAACATTTTATTGTGGCAGTGGTTCACTCTCCAGAAGCTTTACCAAGCCATTGACAAAGTTCCTGGAGAGCAAAATGTTGCCACAACAAAATATCACATTAGTTGCATCTGTGTCCATTTACTTAACATTTTGTTGGTAATTCTACCATTATTACTGTAAAATGTTTGTTTAAATCGTGTTCATTATCTTAAGAATTATTTAGCAGAAATATACTGATAGCTTTGTGGAAGTAGAAGTGACAATATACTGTAGTTTAATCAGCTTGATGTGATTTTGATGCAGATTAAAAAATTTCATGTGTTGCATAAAACATTGAACATTTACTTATGCATTGCATTGATACATGATTTTCTACATTCTTAATACTTTACATTGCTAACATTTCCTTTATAACTAAGTAGATAATGAAGTATGCAGACAATTTCAACAGCTTCTCTGGGTATGTAGCATAATAAAATGACTGCCAGTGCTAAAGCTTACTTTTACTTTGAACAGTTATCTAAGTAGGGTGCTGAAGTAGGATAAATGGTATGCAGTATATACTTTGCACCTCCTGTTTGTTAACATTGTGTTATCTAAATACAGAACAATCTTACTTGTCTCATATCTGCTGTCACAAGTGATGTTCTCTAACTTGAAGCAACATTGTCAAGTATCTTTTCTGTGGCAGAACAACTATGGCAGGAAGCCCCAACATTGTGTATCTGTATGTGTGTATCTGTATGTGTGTGTGTGTGTGTGTCTGTCTGTCTGTCTGTCTGAGCATGGTGGACTAACAGGTGATGGTGTTGTGTACGCAGCGTGAGTGACGTGCACCTGGAGCCTCGGACAGACTCGCGATCAACGCTGAGTGTGGACTCTAGCGTGGGGTCAACACCAATGGTCCGTACCCTCACCTGGACTCCCCCACTCTCTGTAGAGGGTAGTACCCCTACCTGGACCGAGGGAACCCCCAGCTTTACCGAGTCCTCCTCTAGTGGAGATTTAGGTATGCTTGGTATTGCTTTACTACCTTTGCTGCATTTTCACCTTGCTCTTCCTACCTACCTTTTCCATCTTCCTATTCCATGTGTTCATATATAATTGTTTTTCCAAGACTTCTACCTTCAGGTACTTACATTTTACCAATTTTAATTTTAACACCAATTCAGTATCATTTATACTCTATAAATTTTTATATTGCACAACAGTCAGAGCTAATGTCATGATTATAGCTTCCTCAGTAAAGGAAGTTTAGTCATATGTGTACAAGATTCTCTGTCTTCAAACACAAAAGTGATAAACACTAGTTAATGGTGCAAACAAACCCATGTGGAGAAAATAAAGCAGAAGATAATACTGTACTATATGTTTTGGCCTTCAGTTGAGCCCCTCTTCGTAAGACTGCTGAAAAGAGCTTCAGTTATAGGCTGAAATTTACAGTACTACTCTTAATTTCCATTATATTTTCTTCATGATGGTTTGTTCCATGTTCTATCTTGTTCATTTAAAAAACATAAACTTGTAATAAGGTGAGAAGAGATGGAGCAGTGCTGTATTGGTATTTGTTCATAGAGTTTATTATTCTCATTTTCAATAGATCAAGGGACTAAATTCTGTACATTCTTGTAACTTTTTGCCTTCCTAATAGTCAACTCTAAATATTTAACTTGAATTTTAAAAGATGTTTACTATTATGTGTTCTGTTACTTTATCTTTGAGGTTAGCAACTGATTTAAATAGTTTTAAGATTCCAGCTTTAATCTGCTCCCCTCAAAATTGTAGTAATCAGTTCACTCACTTCCAGCCAGGGCACACTACAAATGCATTTCCTATTCCATATTGTATTGTAGCTTTTGCTAGTGAATGTAATGTGAGTAGAACTTAGATGGCTTTCTCCATTGAGCTAGATTCCTTGATATATCCTGAGAAATGTTTGTAAGTGACCTGTGTATGTTGTATGGCTTATAGGTCTGACACATAATACCACTGTGTTATTCTATATTGGAAATCCTTTGACCACCTGATAAACAAAAATCTCTATTTGATTACAGTACTTCTAGGCAGTGAAATTATCATAAATTTATCTACATCTACACATCTAATATCTGTACAGAATTATTTTTTTCTGCTAGGCTAGCACATAGCCCATGTTCACTGTTTTTACTTCAAGGGGGAAAAAAAGCTAAAATAATCATACAGACACATAAAATGATAGTAACATTTTTACTTAATGGGCAAATACATGTATTTGTTAGTGGGATGTGTTTGAAAAGGACCTGTCAAGTATGGGCCAGTAGGCCTGCTGCAGTGTTCCCTCATTCTTACGTTCTCAAGTTAAGTGTGGACAAAAACTCAAAATGTGAATATGTACTTCTTATTCCAAAATGTAGCCTTATCATATTTCTACACAATAACCTAAATTGTTTGTGTAGTGGTTATATAACATATTTCCTCGCAGCTTGCACTTATTATGCACTATAGTTTTAGACTTTAATATATTAGTTACCTAAAAATATCTTTGTCTTTTCGAAAAGGATTCAGTATTATGAACCTGCAACAGTATTTATGATAGCTGACATTTAATTCACTCATACCTACTCATACATAACATTCCATAATTTATCAACATGGGATCCAGAGCAGATGCTGGTATCAATTTGTGCTTGCTAACATGTGTTTAGAGCTGCCAGTAAAACCATGCCTAGTGTACCTCAAAGCATGATTCCCCACTTATTATTTGAGTGGATGTATATTTTCAGATATCGCGTGTTTTAATTTATGGAACCTGAGTATTCAGATTGCTTTATCCCCCTCTGGTTGGTGCTGGGCAGTCCAGGTTAGGGTTTAAATGAAAAGCTGACTAGCATTTATCTATTTAAACAGGCTGTTCTTCCTAATTATGTAGATTTTCTCATGTGCAGTTTACAGGAGAATCCCACTTATACAGCAGGTTAGGTTCTGGGCTACTGCTGTACAGCAGAAATCATCGTAAAGTGAATCATAACCTTTTTTTTTACACACTCATATATTAAGTGAGCAATATAGCTAGGCCTAAAAAATGCAGATGCAGTACACATATTACCTGAAAAGATTTTCATCCTTAGCTTATAGTGAATGGTGAATATATTTATTGTAGTCAGTCTGAATTAATGAAAAATAGGTATAATATAATGTACCCAATATTAGTTTTGTGCAAAGTATTTTTCAGGAAACTTTCTATTTCAGCTTCTATGCAATTGAGTTGGAGTTTCAGTGGGTGTTAGCATAGCCTGTTAAGGCTTAATACCATTACACTAGTCTAATAAAAGAAATTCCTTCAACTGAGAGTGAGTGAATGAGTGCGTGCAGGCTTCTGCTTCTGTGTCTGCGTATTATTCCACAAATTTGCACAGTATTGTAGCTTTTTTAAATAAATAAAGGCTGGTGGGGTAGTGGTGGTTTCCAGGAATGAATATTGGAGAGAGGGAGTAAAAGAAGCTTTTGAGTTTTAAGGGCTTCAGCATCCAACAGGCTTGTATGAGTGTGTTAGGTAAGTGTTTTTTTTATATAGTGAATATGCTCTGGAAGTGTGAGCAAGGTAACTTTTATGAAGCGATTCAAGAAAACTGGTTAGCCTGACTTGAGTCCTGGAGGTGGAAAGAGTAGTAACTGCATTCTGAAAAAGGGGTAAGGATGTTGCAGTTGGAGGATAATCTGTATAGTGATGTAAGCATACTTTTGGAAGGACAGCAATTAGAGGGATTGATGAATGGAAGTGTTTTCTTTTTTGGGTCACTGCCTTAATCGGAAATGGCTGCTGAGGTGAAAAGAAAAATTATAATGCAATAACATGTATTGCAAAGACCACCACATTGTTTTATGAGATGGAAAATCTTTTGTGGTAATGACTACAGTGCGTGTGTATGTACATACAGTGGTACCCCAAGTTTCAGCCATAATTTGTTCCAGAAGGCTGTTCGAGTGCCGTTACTGAACGCATTTGTTCCCATAAAGAATAATGTAAATTAGATTAGTCCTTTTCGGACCCCCAAAAATACACTTACAAAAGCACTTACAATAATACACTTACATAATTGTTCGAGTTAGGAGCTGTATGAAACTCGGGGTACCACTCTGTGTGTGTGTGGTGTGTGTGTGTGTGTGTGTGTGTGTGTGTGTGTGTGTGCGTGTGCGTGCGTGTGTGTGTGTGCGTGTGCGTGCGTGTGCGTGCGTGTGCGTGCGTGCGCGTGTGTGCGTGCTCACCTATTTTTGTGCATGCATTCATGTATGCATACATGTAAGGTGACTTACAGGTACACTTGGATAGATAATTTTATTTTCATAAACAGTTGCATATTTATAATTATTTCTTGATACAGTTAATCGCATGTCTCTTGTGCACTGTATGTTCGCATTTGTGCTCAACACTAACACGACATTTTGAATAGTAAAAAAGAATATTTGCTGTATGGTTCAGTGAACCACTAAGGAATACCTGGTAAAACAGTAAGTTTTGGGTCTCCCTACCACTTCCAGCTTGGTCTGACTTTCCTCCTTCCTATCTCAAAACATATTTCCATTCTCTGTGTCCTGGTGTCTGTCCTCCGTTCAAACAATCAGAGTTCTAACATCTGGCTTGGACAGTTGATAATCTTCATAGTTTATCAAACTATATACAGAAAGGCATTTTTTCATTCTTTGAAAGGTAGTATTCTATATATTGGCGTTGGTGAACATACATTAATGATCTTACTACCAATACCTTAACCCTTAAACTGTCCAAACAGATCTACGTTCACATGCGTAGTGCTGCAAAAGTAGATCTATGTTTTTTACATATTTTCAAATATAAGAAAAAATATGTAGATCAAAGTTCTTTTTACACGTTTTCAAATGTAAAAAAGAAAAAAGAAGCTCTACGTATTTTTACATACTTTCAAATGTTGAAAAAAACGTACATCTATGTTTGGACAGTTTAAGGGTTAAATAGGAGAAAGTAGCTGTAACTGGTAGGCAGGTATTTTATAGTGCCATTTCATGTGTGGTGTTATATAGGAACCTTTGAGAATAATCTGATCAACTGGGATGCAAATTTAGAGGATTTTTTTTGCAGACTTTGAGCAAATGCTCTACATTTTGAGAACAGAGGTGAATATTTTCACCTAGACTTCCTCTATCCCAAAGTCTTGAATACTGCATTCATACCCAATTATATGAAACTTAACATTAGCATGCTCCAACATTCTTTCTAGATCACTGACAGAAACAGAAACATGGTCCACACATACACCAATGCCAGGTTATGCAGAACCATCTGCCCACAAAAAGGGGTGGCTCTGATCAGTTGTTTTGGTGTGTTTTTGCCTTTGGTTAATACTAGTGTGGGCCATAGCACACTATGACTAAAGCTACAAATACAGATATCATATATCACTGCCCATTTTTCCATAGCTTACCCGATGATTAATTGGCTCTTATCTGTAGAGGAAGTGAAGTTAGAGCCATTAAGATATTCTAAATAAGGATACTGGTGCATAAAAAAATGCAAGGAAACAGTTCTAAAGTTCAATTTATTCCACAAAAGAAGTGCATTGATAGTTATCATCCTCAGTAGACCTAGTAATTCATTAGGAGTATTACCACTTTATAAGTCGGATTATGCTAATGCGCCACAAACACTACTTTATTGATTGCGTGATCATAGTTGTCATAAATTTGAGGGAAAGTGCTACTCATAAATTGCAGTATGTCATTGATGATCTTAGGAACATACATTCCTAATGCCAAGGAGCCATGTACCCCTCTGTTGTTGGGATGAGTTTTGGGTGTTTTCTTGTCTGATTATTGTATACCTTAATGAGGAATTTCCTTAACCATTTGGATATTGATCTTGAGACCATAGATGGGGATTAAATTGTATACCTTAATGAGGAATTCCCTTAACCATTTGGTTATTGATCTTGAGACCATAGATGGGGATTAATACATAATCCCATAAGTTAGAAGTTTTTTATTCATTGTTTGGAG